CTTTTTCTTTCTCTCTAACTCACGCACACACACATTCACACACGCACACACATACACACCCATCCACCCACACACACACACACACACACACACACTAACTTTTAAAGACGTGTGTATAGACAATGTGACACGTAGTTTTATTGACGTAGCAAGTTCTCCCAAAGAAGAGGTCTGTCCTGTGGTGATTCCTGTCATAAGATATGACCTTGTTGCTGTCGTTGGGCTTGTTCTATATCTGTGTTGTACCGAGGGGACATGATAGTCGCGTCTCTACTGATGGCTTTTTCTTCACAATTATTGTAAGGCATCGTGGTGAAATCAGGCGCTCGTCAAAATAATGAAATCAAAGAAAAAGGCATTTGTCCACCAGTTTGGCAATTTTTATTGAAATTTTGTTTTTTTGGTAAAACACCTTTCATGTTCAAATGAAAAGACATTTCCATGTGAATTTTACTGATTAAAAAAACCTTTATAAAGGCACAAAATATGTAATTTTCCGTTTTCAAAGACTCTAAACTATTGAAGTTATCAGACTTTGGCGGCCATTTTCTCATCAATTTGACCACTGAAGCCAGGTTACCCCTCTATCTTCAATCGCAAATATCCCGACTTCTATTCCAGCAAGACGGATATTGTTTTCATTGAAAGCAAGGAAAATGAATAAGCTTTCAGATGATGTAAATAACTCCACATGCCCAAAAATTGACGAGCGCCTGATTCCACCACGTCATGACATATTATATTATTGTTGATATCTCCTGGTGATTTCTTCTCTGTGATATTTCTAAGCATTCATAGTACAGTCTTTGCTTGTTGGTGTATACGCTGTCCTGCTTTAGCACACACACACACAGACATATATATATATATATATATATATATATATATATATATATATGGATATAAAAAAATAAACAATATAATATATATATATATATCTCATGTATCTGCATCTATATATATATATATACACATATATATATATATATATATATATATATATATATATATATATATATATATATATATATATATATATATATATATATATATATGTATACAAGCAGCATCGATAGTTTTGTTCTAACTGTTAAATTAGTCCTCACTAACACTATTCTTGTAGATATGTTTTGATATTCTGCAGTAATAAACGCATTCTGAAAAGCAGAAACAGACATTTCTTGTTTTTAGATTTTGCCTGCTCGTCTTTTGTTTAGAAGAAGAAGAAGAACACTATTCATTACTGGATAAAAAAGACATGAGCCGTTTCAGATCTACTTTCAGTGTCATGTTATGCGTGTTAACTAGAAGGACGTACACACACAATTTTGACCAAAGTTATTGTAACTAATTGTTTTCTTTCTAAACTTTTTGATTTTAACATTTAATGATTTTTTAACTACGTATTTTGAGTGATTAGCACCTAATCCCATGCTAAGAGGAAAATTCAGAATGAACGCTTGTTTGGTATATTTCTCAATCTGATAGATAAGAACATTGTCTAGTCTTTCTGTAGGAAGCCACAACAGCCCCAGCTTACACAGCGTCAGTGTTGTCATATGAGTCCCGTGTGATGTGCCTAACTTCACGTACATAACATGTGTTGAGAACCTTTGGGCTTTCTCTGTCGTGTGTTGTCATATTACGAGTCTCGTGTGTTGTGCCTAACTTCACTTAGAGTAGCTAACATATTTGAAAACCCTTTGGGCTTTTTGTCGTGTCTTCAAGGTACTAGATCTAGTTAGAATGTTCTAGTCTGATTTATCAGTCGCTTTTCCCACACCGCATGCGTTTTTCAGCACGTATAAAAATTTCGTTGTTTTTTTTTTCACAATAACTCTCCCCTGTTTCTTGTTCCTTTACATTTTGGTCAAGTCAATTATGCAAAAACCACTGAAAGTTAATTTTTACAGTTATGTTTTATTCCTTGACGTCTAGATTTATTTAAGCAAATATTGTGTGTTTTGACATAAGAGGAACTATATTTGTAAACAATAGTTATAATTAACTTCCTTTTCTTTCCAACAATACACCGAGTCTGAGTTTACAACCTCTTCTGCTCTTATAATAATATTCCTCTCCCTCCAAATGAAACCCTTTCTTTCTTTATTTTTTATGTTCCGTTACGTAATGTTTTCTCTCAAATCCATTCTCATAAAACAAGAACTGCTCGCTGTTTACCTGTCTGTAATATCCCCCCTCGTAAATTCTAACCTGCAGTGCATGTAGGGTTTATGTAATTCCTAATTATTTGTTGTTTTCAGGTTTGGTTCAATTTTTGCATCCTAATTAATTCTAATCTGACTGTTGCTTTGGTTTTTGATATCATGATAATAATATATTAAGTTTGGCTGTAATCTTGTTGCTAGTTGGCAGTTAATCTTTTTGCCAGTTGGCTGTTAATCTTGTTGCCTGTCGGCAGTTAATCTTTTTGCCAGTCGGCAGTTAATCTTGTTTCCACTTTGCAGTTAATCTTGTTTTGCCACTTGGCAGTTAATCTTGTTTGCTGATGATTCCATGCGCTAACGCTGCTTTCCTTCTCTCCCTGTGCCTGGCGTGTGCTCACAGAGTCTGACCAGCAGCCCAGGAAACTGGTGCGGGAAGAGTTCTATAGCATGGATGTGGAGCTAGAGATCCACTGGCGGCGCCGGACACCGCAACAGGCGTCAGAGAGCGGAGTAAACTCTGTGGGGAAAACCCAGGAGGAGATGGAATATACGTGGTGTGCTAGGAGAGGCCGAGAGACCGGGGCGAGGGGGAGTGGGGACGGGGAAGACGCGTCTGGGGACGATTCTGAGGACTTCGATAACGATGACGATTTGTATGATGATGATGATGATGATGAGAATGAGGAAGAAAGCGATGATGAGTGGTCTGAGGGGCGTGGTGGGATGTCGAGAACGGGTGTGTCTGCGACGGCTAGGACCTCGTCCTCCTCGCGACAGTCTGCTCTGGTTTATGGAGGCGGGCTGCGGGGAATGTCGGCCGTTAGCTCGGCTAGTGGGAGATCAGCCTTGTCGTCTGCGTCCAGTAGAATGACGGCGGGATCAGAAACTGTTACTACTTCCCGTCTGTTAGAAAGGGAACGGTCAGGAGTCCTCTCTGCTTCTGGTGTGTCTGAGTCAGAGAGCCGGAGAGCCGATGGATATTCGTTGTCTAGGGATAGGGAGAGACTGCAGGATGTACGGGGGTTCGGTCTGACGACATCGGCATCGTCTGAACGCTTGCGGGAGACCTCGGGTTCGGGGGTGGGTGTGGGTGTGGCGTCTAGCGCCATGCTTAGAAGTCGGGGGACTGTAGGGTTAGAGTCGGCGGTCGGGTTTCAGCACTCTCGTCGACAAACTTCTGGGAGCGGAATGACTTCTAGTTTGTCCGACATGACTATCGAGACCTCTGGGCTAGGGTCTGGTGTAGGTTTTGGAGATACAAGAGTAGGACTAGAGTCGACGTCCCGGTTTGCGGACAACCGGATACATACGTCGGCCTCAGACTCCGCCTTTGCTACAGTAGACAGCAGGCGGGATATCAGAGGAGTAGAAACGTCTAGTCGCTTCTCAGACAGTAGGCTAGAGGCAAGGGGTCTAGAGTCGGCTTTTGAGACGGAGGAGAGAAGAAGGGAGGCATTAGACAGGGGGTTCACGTATGGGATAGCAGACAGAAGTCTTGCAGCTACGGGTACAAGTGTGACGTCAGAAGTGGCGGGTAGGAGACAGGAAGCCACGAGCTTGGAGACCTCGGCGGGTTCTGCAGAGCGGAGACACGGGGAGATATACGGGACCGGGGACATTGAGACTCTGCACGGCGCCACAGCCAGCGGGGGGTGGGCCAAGTCCGGGAAAGACTCGATCAACTTCCAGAGATATGCGATTAATCGGCGGACTGAGCGATCCCAAAGTTCGTTTTCGTCTGATTCGGGATCGGTTCGAACGTCCTCAGAATTCTCGCAGACGCGTCTAGAAACTTCTCAGACGGAGACACGGAAGGCCAACGACACGAATGTGGTCGTGGAGTCGAACGTGATCAGTGAAGAAGGTCAAAGTTTTTCTCAACACTCAGCCTATAGACCTAAGCAATGACCCTAGACAATGCCATGATATAGGTCACCTCCGCTGTGTGGGGCTACGACCTCCCCACCGCCCCTAGGCCTTGTGTTATCGATAGGCTTACTTTCTGTACAGAAGGGTATGACCAAACTTCTCTCAGTTATTTTAAAATTCGGATACTATACTGTCAAAACGTCCTTTGGCAACCCCATGACAAAACAGCGTGTCACTGAGTGCGGAAGAGAAACACTTTGTTCTTGTTTAGAAGTGCACGGAAAAGCTGTGGCGCCTTGTCACGTGTTGCCAGATTCTTCCAAGGTTGTGATTTTACCAGTTATTTGGACATACAAATAGCGAACCGGCTGTTCTGTTTCCTACATTATGACAAGGGTTTGTGGTATTGAGGTGAGGCAGGAGCGTTTACTAGATTGGGATAAGTTCAGTAAAGGGAACTAGAAGACTTAAGGGCAAGTAAGATGACTTGTGGCCTCTGCTGTGGTCAGTGAGACCAATGTTGACAGAGAAAAGTTTGCCACATTTTGAGCGTTCAAAATCTCCACTTCCACTTGGTGGATTCGCGCAACTTGCGGGCTTCTCTCATAGTCTCAGTAATTCTGATCCATGAAGCTGGAGAGTCCTTCAAGTGACAGAAGTGCCCGCCTCTCCACTCTGTTCCCCACCCACTTATTTCTCTGCAAGTTGTGACAATGGAGCAGTCGGCTCCGCTGCTTGTGTTGCTTGCACTGTTGACATAGGCCTAACTGTTCAGGTGTGCTGTCACAACCCCCAGTTTGTTCCTAAGGCGTTCACAGAAATAACCTAACTTGTGTTCACCCAGTAAATAATTCGTTCTACTGAAGAGAGGGACGTCATTTTGTTAAGAGTAACCCCCCCTACCCCCTACCCCCTCCCCCCACGCACAAAATGACAAACTGATACACGTCTTCTTTTTTATAAATGCTGCTCTTTTGAGAATGAACCATTTTATTTTGGCCTTTTTGCTTTTGAAAAAAACAAAAAACTTTACACCTCTTCGTTTATTTCCAACCAGTTTTGAATGCGGCCGTGTACAACACACAATGTTAATCCTTTTCGCCTTCTCTCTGTGCCTAGCAGTGTCTGTGAGAGCGGCCTGGGGGAAGGAAGGGACTGCTCCATTGATGGACACGGCAGTGGTGGGAGGCGGAGTCACCGAGACAGAGCCCCGCCCCCTAGTAGCTAAGGGGGCCAATGGTAGAAGCCCGTGCGGCGAGCCTACGACTCGTGTGGCGTTTGGTTTTGGCGGTGAGCCTGTTGCCTATATGGGAGAAGACTCCATGAGTATATCCCAACTTTTGTCAATGGTTCTTCTTTACTTGGCACTCAGGATAGTTTTATTCGTCTTTGGCGTAAGCTCTTCCATAGTTTCGTTTAATAGCGGTGACGGCCCTTTGTAAAGCAAAGCTCTGAGAGGACAATATTACTTTTTTAATAATGTCTTCCCGAGCCGAGTGTTTAAGTCACTCAAGTCTATGCACCAATCGTATTCAAGAACTTCCAATAAACCAATCAATGTGTCACAAGTCCAGCTGAATCGAGAATGCAAATTTTATATTTTTAAAATTAAATTTTCGTATTCTTTTAGTTTTTAAAGTCATCTTGGTTTTTTAAGATGAATGCTTATTTGGAGTCGGTTTGCGATGCGTGGTCGGGTTTTTTTTTTGGGGGGGGGGGGTTCTTAAACTTGGTTATGATAGTAGGATTTTTTTTACAATCTTGTGGTATGAAGTGATGACGTGTTGAGTTTGTTTTAGTTGCGGTATTTATGAGTGGTGTGTGGGACAGGCGGGGCACGACCCTCGCCCCACTGTTCCGGTACCGTGTAGGTGAGCACTGTGTTATGTTGAGGTGAGCACTGTTTTATGCGAAGGCAGCACCCGTGTGGGTTGGAGTGTTCTATAATGTAGGGCTGGGCGCGGGCAGTGCCGTCATTGGTGGGGGGCGGGTGTGTGGGCGGGTGTGTGTGTGTAAACGTGAGTGTGGGTGTGTGATTGGTGTGTGTGTGTGGATAGGTGGTTTTGTAGAATGACTGTGTATGTGTGGACGTATTATGTGTGTGTGTGTGTGTGTTTGTGTGTGTGTGAGAGAGAGAGAGAAAGAAAGAAAGAATGAGAGAGAGTGAGAGAGAGTACGATCCATCATTTGGCATTACTCACATTGACAGTACTTGCTTCCTACCCCGGTTATTTTGGTTTTACATTTTGATTTTTTTTTTCTGTTAGCATTTTTGGTTTGATGTATGTATTCATTCACTGAACTTGAGACCAAACTCTGAGCATGTGTCCATTCATTACTCATTACTCATTCTAGACGTTGCTAGATTTTTTGGAGCTCCCGGTTTATTTTACTTTTGTGCATTAGAGGCTCCCTATGATGTTTCCGTTTGTTTGTTTGTTTGTTTGTTTGTTTGTTTGTTTGTTTGATGTTTTATTTTGTACTGATTTTTGCGGACATTGTGAGCAACCAACACAGCAACTTGGCCCTCCCCAGAGTGACCTCCGACCCCTCCCCAGAGTGACCTCCGACCCCTCCCCAGAGTGACCTCCGACCCCTCCTAGGCAAGTAGACTCAATCACCTGGCATAGCATTCTCCATCTTGACAATGTGCCCGAATGCCATCAACCTTCCTCTGTCTTGGAACTCTCATTTGGTTGTTTCTGGTCACTCTGTCGTTTTTCACCCATTTGTTCCCGCTGATTTCTGATAAATTTGCTAGTAAGTTTCTTTTCTCCTTTTCTCCCTCAATATACCCCTGGACCAGACTAAAGCCTTTGGTTCTAGATGATTCTAACGGCATCAAAACATGCTGGACCTCGTCTGTTTCCTTGGTAACCCAGTCGTAGATATTATCTCTCTTCCCTTTTCCCTCCTCAATGCTCCTCCCCCCCCCTTTTTCTCCTCCCAATTCGTATTTCATAAGAACTTTTTCTTCCAATCCTTAGACCCATAGATGTGTATATCTCGCATTTGTGAAGCACCAGAAACATTACCCTCCTCCCTCCTCCCTCCTCCCCTCTTCTCGTGTAGAGTCTGATACTACCCCCTCTCCCCCCCCCCCCCTCCCGTCATCCCCACGAGCCGGCTGTATTGGTTGAGTACATAGGAATGACAATCGTTTTTAACATGGTAGATGGGTGAGCAAATGTCCTTGATTGGTACCAAAACAGTTTGTATTTTTCTGTGTTGTTTCCTTCTGCGCACTTTTAGTAGCAGACTTACTCTTTATGATCTTTATTTCGTGTCTGTTTTTTGAACCTTCTAAAATTTTATTCTGTTTAGCTTCTAGACTCCCAACTTTTTCCCGTTAAGTTACTGTTATGCGCCATTGCAAAGAAGTTATTTTTATGTTCTTGTTCTGAACAATTGTCTTTTTTGTAGGGGGAAAAGGGGTGAAAATGTTTAATAAAATTGTTATATTTATGGAAACATTTTGTTTTTCCGTAGATTTGTACTTTGTGTTTGGCTTGACTTCGCCTTTTACTTTTTGTTTTTTTTATTTAATTTTTTTTTTTAGAAACCAAAATCTGACACACAAAAATGGCGTAAAACTTTCTTTCCAAGCCAAAATTCATACACAAAAATACTCAAAAGCGCAGACAAAAGTTCCGAACATGCAATCGATCTGTAGAAACGAGAGATCCGAAAGAAAAAAAAAACGTAGTGAGTTTTGTGACACAAAGTTTGCATGTTAGCTCCCCCTGCCCCCCCCCCCCCCCCCCTCCCTGGGGCAGCCTGTCACGTGAAGGCATGCACGGTCGCTGTCGCAGGTCCTAGTCAAACTAGAAAGTTTTGTTTTTTTGGTATTGTTTTCTTTTTTTCCCCTCCTTTTCCCTCCCCCTTGTGATGGCGTTGAATGGTGATCTTTTTTTTATACCGTAAATTCCTTTTACCCCCTGTTTCTTTTCTTTTTTGTGACTTCGTGTTTTATTTTTAGTTAATTTTGTGTCTCTGTAAGACAAATTGAAACCTCCCCCGAGGGGAGAGAAGAAAGGATTTGTTGCTCACCCACCTACTCTCGGTGTTGTTCCAAGGTTCTTGCTCACGTTGTGGTGAACCTGTCTGGATCTGTTACTGCATTCTCCTGTGTGCCATTCCATTGTCATGTTGTGCGCGCGTGTGCGTGTGTGTGTGTGTGTGTGTGTGTATGTGTGTGTGTGTGTTTGAGTGTTTGAGATTTGCATTGATGTACTAATACGAGAAATAATTGGTCGCTTTTAAGGACAAACCAGCTGACCCAGGTTTTTTTAATGATTTTTTTTTTTTTGGGGGGGGAGGGTGGGTCCAGAAATCTTGACCTACTCCAAAAGTGAGCATTGCCCTACCTATAGGAGAAGTTTGGTCTCATTGGTGTGTATATTTGTTGCGTTATAGAGAAAACTCTCCTTGTCTTTTAAAGAAACTGAACAAAGGGCCAAAAACTTTACCTTCAATTTTCTCAAAACAGCATTTTGTGAGATAGCCCCCTTGTGCTTAAAAGCGACCAATTCTCCTTGCTGTAGAACCGTTGTATGCCGTGATGTTGTGACTAAGTATCGCCGCTGTGTGAGAACACTAATCGCATTTTGATGTTTTCAACCTGTCGTTTCTTTTATGTCTGACTTTGTTACTTATATTATTATATTTACTAGATCTACAATTTTGTTATTAGTCAATCATAATTATTATATTTACTAGATCTACAATTCTGTTATTAGTCAATCATAATTATTATATTCCCGACTGTTCTGAAGTACAAAATGACAACCTTTTTACTTGACTTTCACATGGCCAAGTGCCTAGTGTGAGCGCAGTGGCCAAATAGTATATATATTATACATATAGTACAGAGTATTTAGCCTCTTGTTATCTCATTTAGGCTATCAAATGCCAAAAGTTCGTGTCAAAATATGTATTTCTGTCTATGCAATTGTTCTGAATCAACTCAACAGTTTTGTTGTTTGTCATGTTATGTTCTCGCGGTATATATATAAATTATTATATAAAGCAATAGCCAGAAGATCTGAATAAATGTCATAATGTCCTCTAGCATATCTACCTGACCAGATGTTCTTGCTGTATACAAATAATAACTTCTTTAAACTGTTTTTTTTTTTAAAGATGTTTATTGTCTGTCATCGTTTCTGATTGGTTATTTTCCGAGTTAGGCGTATTTTCCATGTACCATGCTATCGTGTACTGGCCACGCAGACAGAAACTGGTAGCTGTAATACCATCATTATTTTGAAGCTTAACATTTTCAAAAATTGAACCCCCTTCACGCCCCACCCCTTGACCCAATCTTAACTTATCTTTTAAAAAATTGTTATAAAATTTATTTATCTATTTATTTTTTATTTTTAAAAATTAAAATTAATTATTTATTTTTTAAATCTATTTATTTATTTATTTATATGTTTATTTATTTATTTATTTATCTATTTATTTTTATTTATTTGTCTATTTATGTATTTATCTATCTTTTTATCAATTTATTTATTTATTTCTTACACTTTTCCGCGGTTGTGCTTCATGTATCCCCATGCCCGTCATGTACTAACACCCATGTCGTCTGTAAGATTTCCCTCCCTTGTCGAGCTCTCTGGTGTGCATGCCCGCCCTTCACTGGACAGAGGTAGTGACGTAATGCATGCGGCCCGCCCTCTCCCGGAGACCCCGCCCCCTTTGTGACTGACCAAT